CCTAATGTCATAATTCATCAATTATAAGATGTCACTAATCATAAGATGCACTATTATATTGTGTACCACTAAAAGAAAATGCATGTCAATTAAAAATGACATACTCTCAATCATAAGACACATCTCTATTTAAGAGCATCAAAATGTAGAAAAAATACATCTTAAAATTGATTAAACACATTATTCCATACTATAATACCTTTTCTTTCTCAGATGAAAACCATATGTCATGTGCTAGAGAAGTCTTTCCTTGATAATGTAACAAAGCATACACATTGGACAAAAAACATAAATGGTAAGAAAACAAGGTTAAAAAAATAAACTAAAATCATATATAATTCTAAGTTTCTTTTTAGGTTATAGGTACACTAAATACTTTGCTAACTAGACAGGAAATTTTGAAAACTTATACTCTCTTGTTCTATTTATAGTTTCTAAATAGAGGAAATTTTTAACAGATATTATAGTGAATAAAAGTTAACTGGATCTCAATTTGAAGTATCAGCTACTCAAAGACAGAAAGAAAATGACATCTTTGACAAAAAGGCAGGTAACTGAATTTTGGGGGGAAATGACCTTGGAGTCAGATCACAGTCAAATTAATCTGTTTCCTATAAATTCTATCTATAATAAAATTAATGAAGCTAGATATATCCTGTGATTGAGTTGAGTTGTTAAATTTTCATTCAGTAAGAAAGTCAGTCATGATTCCTATACTAAGTTTGGCATTGTAGAAGGATGGGGGAGGGGAGACTTGACTTTTAGCCAAGAGGATTAATCCTTTCCTAAACTGAAAAAAGTATTTCATAGAATAACCTGCCCACGTAAATATTTTTGTAGGTCATTTTTTCCAAGAAAGACTTGTTGGGTGAATAAATGCCCAACCAAAGTAGAAATCATACATAGAAATGTTTTTGCACTCAAAGCTGAAAAGCAAATAAGGCTAAAAGACCCGCAAAACAAACCCCACCAATGCATATACCATAGCTTTGCTGAACAAGAGTTTAATAATACCACTGACTGCAAAATCTCTCAAGCATAGCCCCAGTACCAGTGAATTGCCTGTTTGCAAATAGTGGTCACCAAGCTACCAAAAATTATCAAAATTCCAATGTACTACTTGAGTAATTCTGCTTCAATAACCCTGTGAATATCAATCCATAACTGAAGAAAGAAAACAAGTTGGGCCTTAATGCTTCTCTACCAGGCAAGTTCAAAATAACATCAACAACATAGTTCTTGGCATCCCAATATAACAATATAATCACAAAACAGTGCATGTTAGAAAACAGTAGCCTTAAAACCCTGAACGGGAAAACACAAACTCTTGCATTTCTGAAGATGAAAGTAAAATTTGACTTATCCTGCATTTTGGGGCTCTAAAATCAGGCTAGTGAGGGTACCAGTTCTCTCTAACAGAGGGTAGACATATCCTCTTGTAATTTGCTTAGCAGTCTTGGGAACCCTGTATGTATCTATTTCCAGTTGCATATTCTAGAAAATAGCAAGTTAATGCTATGCCACTGCTGCACCACAATAAATAGCCATTTTTGCAATTTGAAAGTCAACTGCAGAAGCAAATTGAAAACAGGTTGCTTTTAAGAGCAAGTAAGAAGCTTCAGAATGCCTAAACATTAATTATCTTGAGGGGAATTACACAAGTATATCAAAATCCTTGCTTTAAGGACTCTGTGAAACAGCTAACTTCATGACATTAAGCAAATATCAGAGAATTTTTCAAGATCTGGAAACTCAGATCATGCTTTTTCCTATTTTGAAATAGAGTTCTCATTTCCATTAGTATATATTTAACTCATGTTCTATGAATAATACAGGACCATGATAAAAATCAAATAATGGAAGTGTATTGTTCTGTATGTAAATGAAATTTTTCGCTATAACATTTTTCTTCCTTTTCACTTCTGTAGGGAAGCTGTCATCAATGGATTTTTCTTTTTTTTTTAATTTTATTTTTATATTCCCCACACAATTGCAACCCCCTTATTTTGACCCCAACCCCCCAGATTTTCTTCTTATTACAAATAAGACTTTTGGTAAATGAATATATTTTAAATCATGAATAGAAGCCAAGTCATGGTTTTCCAAAAATTCATTTGAGGCTTACCATGTTAAAGTACATGTACACTGTTATTTGTCTATGGTATAGGATTTTAGATAATAAAGCATTAACAACAAACAAAACCTTTGCTTTTATGAGTAGGAAGACCTAGAAAAGACCCATTTGAATATTATCTCAAATGTGTTGAATACAGTCTTTTTTTAAAAAAATGAACAGGTATATTCTATTGGTTAACTTTTTGTCCTAAAAGATGATAGGGAAAAAAAGTATGTCCTCAACCTAAGTTGTGTGCAGAGGTCCAGGGAGCCTCAGAAATATATACCAGGTGTATATATAATCAAGCATAATGTGAAACTAGAAGCAGAAGTCCTAGATCCTATTTCTGTTGTAGCTATAAACTTCATATGTGATTTTTTGACAAGTCACTTCACTTGTCCAGTTTATGAAACAACAGGAGGAAACATCTGATCCCCTTAAGATTTTTTCAATTCCTATAATTAATATCTGTGCAAATCCCTAAAACAGCATTTGAGGGGCACAGGACATGGAACAAAAACATTTTCAGGAGAGTACTTACTTTGCTCTTCCAGCATGCTGCCAGGATAAGTCAGCTTCTGTAGAAAACTAGATACTAAATGGCCTATCTTAGTATCTTAGCTAAATGGTTGTGAAAAGCATTTAAAGATAGTCAGTCAGAAGAAATAAACTATTTTCTGTGATCCAAAAAATAGTGTGTGAGTCCTCATATCCTCAGACCCCACAAGTCCTCATATTTCATCTTTACTGGTAGAATGTACAGCGTTCCTTTAAATGACCTGTGCTCTCTGAACAGTAACAAATAATTCTGAAAGTAAATGGTTTTCATCCCCAGTCCCATTTCCGAGCCATGAAAATACATTTTATGCAACAGTTACATTATATACTGTACTCTTAAGACAACTTCATAAAAGAGAGTTTAACATATGGTAAAAGATAAGAAATAGGCTTGTATACTGGCTCTACTGATGTTGTGTGATCTCGGGGAAGAAGCTTAACTCCTCTGTGCTTTAACTCCTCTGTGTTATATTTCTGTAAAATAGGGGAACTAATCAAACTAACTCAGAGCATTATTGTGAGGATTAATTAAAATTATGCATGGAAAGCAGGCAACTCAGAACCTGATATAACATAAATGTCAGATTGATCAATCAATCAACAAATCAATGGATCCTGAGATCTGGAACTCCCTGAAAGGCCTTGTCTAAGGCCACAAACAATTTGCTGGCAATGAATGGCATCTGCTGATCTTTCCTCTTCTGAACAAACAATAGAGCCAAGACTCAAAGCTGGGTTCAGCTTTTATTAACAGGATCCTGCAGAAATCAGCAGGAAATGAGATTATCCTGAAAGTTGGGGTTACTCTATTTTAAGACAATATCTTTAAAGGAGATAGAAAAACACACATACATACACACACATTTAATACGGTCATACAGAATCAGAGGAAAGAGATTGTTTTTCATTGATGCCTTTTGAAGTATTGCCAGCATTAAAAGCTACAGAATTTTATAACTGGATAGCTCCCTAGAGACCATCTAGTTCAACTCACTCACTTGATAGATAAGTAGCTGAGGCCCAGGGAGGTTAAGAAACTTGCTTGAGGTATTCAGCAATAAATGACAGTACCAAGACAAACAAGCTTTCTGACTGCCCCATTTGTCAACCCAGAATTCAGTTCTGATCTCTTTCACCAGTCAGCATCTGGCTCTTGTTATGCCAAACAGCATGAAGACATAGACACATACACAAAGCACACACTTGCCACATTAGTCCAGCTTCCAAAAAAGATACAAAAGCCATCTCAAGCTCCCAACGCCTTCTTTTTAGAGCTTCCCATCATGGGAATTGGGGGGCGATCCCAATCAGTATGTGGTCCCCTCCCAGTCTCTCTTTGAAGTTCCTACTCTTTCGTTTCCTTCTCACATCCACTTTTAAGGGTTACTTCTAGAAGTTCCTCACCTGAAAGATCAGGCACTTCCTAGGGCAAAAGGTTCCACTGCGAATTTGAAACTTCTGACCTTCCTACAAATACAAAACCTTGAGACAGGAAATACAAAACTGCTCTTAAGTTTTCTCCAGGCTCCCTGAATGAATTCTGCCAGAACTAATGCCCCCTCCCCAAGATAGTTTAAACCAGGTTTATTTTATCAAGTGTGAAGCCTGGCAAGCCCACATTAGGTATTGCCTAACGTGGAACAGGAGAGAGAGAGAGGACCAAGGAAGGAGATGGATTAGGGGGAGCAACGAGACCAGCAGAAGGAGGGCAGTGGCCAAATTGCAAAGTTTGGATCCTGGAGACAGCTATGCTGCTGAGACTGACTCACTGCCTAAGGGACAAAACTGCCCAGGGGATTGCACTGTTTTAATTATACACTCTGGTAACTGATTAACAACAGACTGGTGCGCAAACTACACACCTAGGAAGCAAGCAGAGGCTACACCGAAGAGGCAGAAATAATGAACACTCATTCCTCCTGCTCCCTTTTCTCCTGCCTCAGGCGTTGCTTGCCACTCTGCGCCTGGGGGCACACCTGGAGTTCTCAAGGTTTTCTTCCCACCACCCCAAGAAAGGGAACTCCTCTCCCTGTTCTCCCAAAGGGTAGGAAAGAAGCATCGAGTATCAGAGCTCAACCAAGCTGTTCTCCAGTCCCTTACAGAGAACTGATCCCACGGAAAGGCTTTCGCTGAGAGTCTGGAACTCACTGACGCGTGGCGCGCCTGGCCCCTAAGCACGCGCGCTGGGTGAGGTTTCTCCCAGCCTGGGTCTCCGCCGTGAGGGTAGGAGGCTTGAGTGTCACAACTCAGCGTTCCTTCCCTGCACGATCACCCATCGGCTAAACCGGAAGGAAGGCTTTGCTTTCGCCTTTTCCCCCCTCCCTACCTGAATTCCGGTACCAGGTTAGGCTGCAACCCATAGAAAGCAGCCGAGAGAGTGACCAGCCACCCAGGCTTGTAACTCCCGTTCTCGCACTCCAGATAAGGCGGAGACCACTTGACGTGACTCTTATCCCCGCCAAGCCCGTCTCTGCGCCGCCAGCTATTATGGCCCAGGCCCCGGGGTCCCTGATGGGAGCCGCGGCGGTGTAAGTGGGTCCTCCACTTGCGCCGGAGGCCGTGGAACCACTCCGTCTCCAGCGTAGCGTTGGCTAGATGGTGTGCGCTTGAGGATAGGTCCTGGAGCAGAATGCGACTCTCCTCACGCGTGGCCTGGAGGAAGACTTGCGGGGTCGGCGCGGACAGAGACTCGGTGCTGAAGGTGATGGCCGCCCGGGAAATGCTGGGCTCGCCCTCCAAGAGGCTCCGCACCAGTGCCTGGTACCACTCCAGGTCGTCCTGCAAGTTCTGCTCCCGCGACTTATTGCTCTGCAGCATCATGTTGAGGAAGTTGGTAGCGTGTGTCAGTGTGTCCAACGCCCCGTGTAAAGAGGGGTGGGAACTGGCTAGAGCGGGCGACTTCCCAGGCAAGCCCGCCAACTCGTAGCGGCCAGAGCAATTGGCTCGCTTCAGCTGGTGGGAGTCCCCAGTGTACAGGTAAGAGGCCACGTCCATGGGCACCTCCTCGGCGAGTTTCTGCGCCAAGATGGTGCCGTCTGTGGAGCGGCTCCAGGGAGCTGAGGGGTCCGAGGCAGAGGCTCGAGACAACTGCTGGGCGTGCTGCTTCCCCTTTAGGGTCTTCTCTCGAGGAGAATCCAGCCCTCCCAAAGGATCGCGGCTGGCGCCAACAGCTCCTAATCCCAGATGAACGAGCAGGAGGCCAACGAGTAACTGATAAGCCATGGCTCCCATCCGCCTCGCAGTGAGGAGAGGAGGTATCGGGAGGAGTCACTTTTTAAATTTTGGTCGTCGATTTATCAACAGAATGACTTTTACTAGGGGCCTTCCCCCTTCTCCAGATGGCACTCAGTCCAAAAGGACTTTAAAATGAGAATTCCTCGAAATTGGCCCGCTGGCTAAACTACCGGCGCAGGAAATCAGATCACCTGTGGCAATGCTGGCTGCACCCGCTTCACAATGGGTCGTCTCTGGATTACGCACCTCGATGCCTTGAGCCCAACAGCTTACATCCCCTCTGGTTCCCTGCAACTATAGTTAGCCTGCTTACGTCTTTCTGCTCAGCCGCTTCCACCGCTGGTTTCATTGAGGTGTGTTCAAGAGCTGCTGCTGCTGCTGTGGCTGCTGCTGCTGTGGCTGCTGCTGCTGCTGTGGCTGCTGCTGCCGCCCCAACCGCTGAAGACGCTGCTCCATCATCTCAACAGTGGCAGGTCGTTCCCGCCTCCAGGTTCTGGCTCCTCCTTGCTCGCTTCACCCCGAGGCTCCGAGCGCGCGTGCATACAGAACCCACAGCGAGCTCAATAGCAAGTTCCAAAGAACGAAGATTTCTTTCAAGGCATTTGCCTATCTGGGTCGAGAGCACCGGGCAGCTGGTTAATTGGAGCTTTTAGGTTTGACCACAAACCACACTTCTGCCTCTCAGTGCTATCAGAAGGAAAGCTGGTTTAAAGAGACAGCTTGGCCGCAACCAAACCCTGGTATAGGGCGGCTTCGAGTCGTCTCGTTCTGTGTTTGGTCGGCTCCTCTGTCAATCAACCGCCTGCCATTCGTTGGGCTGGGGCGGGAGCTGTCCAGTGCTGAACCAGAGGCAGCACACGGAGGAGGCGCAGGAGGAGGCGGGCGCGGGATGCAGCAAGGGAAGAGTCGTTTCACCCACTCGTGTTCCCTGATGACTCGGAAACCTGGGGGATGGGAGTAGGATGGGTAGGAGTGAGGGGGAGAAACAGCTTTTATGACTGAGAGCAAAGGAAACTTGGACGTACTGAGGAGGGTGTTGGCGTCTTAGATGCTTAGTTAAATCAAGCATTTTCTTTTGCTTGGAAAGGAGCTAGAATGGAGTTTTCATTTTTTTTACTTAAACAGGAGGGGAGGGACATAGGATGGAGACGTGTCCTCTTCAGCATCTGCTCATTTTAGACAAATTATCAAATCATCCTTCTTGTCATCCGTTTAAAAAAAATGATTAAAACCTACTTTTGGAGGTCTTAGCTATGAGGGAGTAATAGAGACATCTACTGGCTGGTCTTTAAGTGGGGGAAATGCCATTTTAAAGAACCTCTGCTTGGGTAAAGGGAACCTTTATATGGAAGGTAGCAAACATGTGCAAGGGGCAGACAGGGACTGCAAGAGAATGAGAATGAATGAATCTGGGTTGAGTGAGAAGTTCCTAGAATTGATGGATATTAGAACTAAGATACCTGGTTAACTATAGGTCAGGATATTCCAGTAGAAGAAAGGAGAACTGAATAAGTGTGTGGCACCTTCCAAATCACTGGAAAATCCTTTAACATTTGAATTGTTTTATATCAAGCTTATTATGAAGTATAAAAGTATCTTCTGATATTCTGAAAATATTAGTTAGTACTGGATATATGTGGTGTTTAATGCACCTCCATTTTCAAATTCTCCAGAAAGATGCAAATAGAAAACCCCAAATTCATGTAAATTACAACTTTAAAAAAGTGTCATTCATGGCATTCTAAGATAATACTGCTTAGGTTTACTTTACCATTTCATTTCACGCTCCCTATTGAGAAAATGCCAAAGCACCAAAATCTAAGTTCCAAAAAGCAAAAGTTTGTCTGCATTGGTCACTACAGTATCTTAAAAATCTAGAACACATAAAAATGCCTAGCACATAGTAGATTCTCACTAAATATTTGCTAAATTAATGAAGGAACTAGAAGATCATGATGATTAATTATTTAAAAATACATTTCCTTACCTAAGAAAAGAAGTTGGCCTCATATGCCAGTAAAGAGGGTTTTTGGATAAGACATAGAAACTGGTTATCCAAACTACAGTACATGGTCTCAGAAGTATAGTATAGTATAGTGCATGTGCAGTGATTCAGCATCATTGGAAGGCCTGGATTCTGGTCCTAGCATTGTTTTAAGCAAGATATGTGACCAGTGGCAGGACATCTAGTTTCTGTTTTTTAGGACACAAACTGTATCTGGGATTCATGATTCCATGTTGAAGGAGCACTGAAATGGCATCTAAGCTACTCTCCAGGATGCCATTCCTTCCCCTAGTGCATAACCCACAGGAAGGATCAAACAATGAGAGACTTGCATTTTTAGCATCCTTTCAATGGATCATCTTCAGTCTACTTGAGGTGAACTAGTTAAGACTATAAGAACACAGCCCAATAGAAATATAATGTAAGGCACAAGTATGATCAATATACAATCTTAAATGTTCTGGTAGCACATTTTAAAAAAGAAAAAAAGTGAAATTAATTTAAATAATATATTTAACCCAATATATCCAAAAATCTTCCAAAGTCAATCTGTATTTTACACTTAGAACACATGGCCTTTTAATAGGTCTGGAGTCAAGTAACTGAGTAGGCAGACAATCCTATGTCTGTGTTCATGTCCATAAATGTTGAAGATGTTTTTATAAGGAAATAAGATTTAATATATACTCATATCCTTCTAGGAAGACCATAAAATTCCACTCCAACATACATAAAACTACATAGCAGGCATTGTGCTTGGAACTGGGGCAAAAGAAGTCACATCTTTTGCTCAAAAGATGCCTGAACCTTACCGTGAAATGTATGTGTGTATTTGTATACATATAATGTGCATTACATATTGTACTATTTACACATAATTAAAAACAAACAAATGAAATAATACATTGCAATAAGTGCCCTGAGGAAATAAACACTGTAAAGGAATAAATGATGCAGGGTACAGGGTTCAGGGAACTTCTTGTAAAGATATAAAAGAAAGGAAGACTTCTTTAAGGAGGTAACTATTGAACTGATACCTAAAGAATGAGAAGCAGTAAACTAGATAGTAGATAGCAGTGAACCAGCTAAACACAAGATGGAAAGAAATTTATTTTAGGTAGAGGGAATAGTACATGAGTGCACTAATACAACAAATATTTCATTCTTAGCGGGAAAGAGGAATGGAAGGTAACTGTAGTAAGCTGAAGTTCATCTGTAATATAAAAAGCACAAATAATTGAGACAAATCATTTTATAAATTGATTCAGTGATCCTGACATGTATAGAACCCTCTAACACCACCACATAATTGGTATGAAATTTGAACAGAACTTATAGGTGTAGATCAGTATCCCTCTGTGGCCTCAAAATTAACAACTAAGTGGTCTAAATGCACATTGATCCTTTATATGAGCTTGACTGTAATAAATAGTGCATACATGACCTGTAGGGCCTGTTTGAAAACGCTAAGGGCTCTTTCATCAAAGCCTGAAAAGTCAATCTAATTGCTTTAGAACAGTCAGATTTGCACTATGAAAAAGCAATATGCAATGAAGCTATGAGTTATTCGTTGTTGTTATATGATTGATTTGTCACTGTTATAAAAAAAGATTTGATGATAGCTTATCTTTATAAAAGAAATTAAAGGAGGTCAAAAAGTACTGAGACTAATACAGGGAAATTTATTTTAAAAATTTAAGTGCTACTTTAAATCTTATAAATCATAAGGATTAGGACAGTATGATAGGGTGAGAGGATACTAAATTAGACCCAGCTTTACTCTTGTAGAGAGTAAGTATCATAATTATTACTTTATCTGTAACATAATTGTGACGTACTTGACATCCACAATGGAACAATGACAACTGAGTGATGGATAATGGTTCAGTTATATTTTCCAGTAACTCATTATTCTTGATAATTCTAGATTTATAAAGGTAAATGTAATTTTAAATTAAACAATCCTAGATCTCCGTAAATCAAATGACAGGACACAAATTGAATTCCCAATTAAGCCAATAAAACTACAAAGAAAGAACATAGTCTGTCAATATGACACAAAATAAAAAATCCAGTTCTCATTCCTGGTGTTACTAAGATTCTGGATTTCCCTAAGCATACACTATCCCTGTGCCTCTTGTACCCATTTGAAAAATGAAGATCACATTCTTTGTTATTCCAAAGCAGTGTTTTGAAATTTCAGTATACAGAAGTATCATTAGAGAATTCTGATCATCACTGTGGGTCCAGGTGGAAGTTGAGAATCTGCATTTTAATAAGCACCACAGGTGATTTTGATGCAAATGATCCATGAAGCACATGCTGAGAAATACTGCCTTGAGCCATGGAAAATAACTCTAAGACATTAGGAGAAAAGATCTCCTGGTAAACACAAAGCTTTGCTATAAATGGTGAAAGATAGCCTGAGGGGAGATGGGAGAGATGAGAATAACACCTATAAAGCCTAGTATTATTATTAGTTAACTAAACATTTATATAGCACTTACAATGACCAGATATGTTCTAAGAATTTTACACTTTAGTTCTTTAAGTCTTCATTCCCACACTCTGAGTTTGGTCCTGTTCCCCTTTTACAAAGGAAAATAAGCAAACAAACAAGAAGGTTTGCCCTAAGCAAGTATCTAGCTTTAGATGTTACACCCTTAATCACTGTACCAGTGGTTCTCAAACATCAATTTATATTAGATCCACACAGAGAGCATTTCAAAACACAAAGTAGTGGCCCCACCCCCAAAATTGCCAGTTAAGTAAGTCTGGGAATTGGGTTAGAGAATTTGCATTAGTAACAAATCCCCAGATGATACTGGTCCAAGGACCACACTTTAAGAAGCACTGTTCTATGCTGCGTTTTCACCATTATAATCTGTCACCTCCCTATGCTTATACTTTCCTGTGTATTTCCTTGGGAAAAGGAGAAAGTCAATTTTAATGGATAAAAAGATGCCTAAAATCTGCTGAGAAAAAAAATCTAGTTTCCTATTTCCAACTTAGCTTGCCCAAGATGTTTATGTCTTTACTTAACAGTTTCATTTCATCTGCCTCCAGTTTACCCTTAAAACTTTACTCCCTGTCAGCATCACTTCTAACAACACTCCTTCTCTTTCCAGAGTTGTCTCCTTTGCTTTCAGTCATGACTTAGGCTGTTCTTTCATTCCTAACAAAATGTTTTTGTAAGTACTACTAAATACTACTAAATACTAAGCATCAGCTACATAGTTACTAGGGCTTTGACTAGTTTAATCTAAACATCCTCCCACCACCACATACATAAAATGATTCTACAAACCCAAAGAACTTCTGGACAATGATGGAAGAAAATACCAG